ATATATAACTTCCATGGAATATATAATACAACTTATCATTAACGTTTTTGCTACAAATTTTGAACAGGCTCGACCGCGTCTTTTCTTTGCATATAAATTATTTAAATTTTTTTAAAAAATACGTTTTTAATTAAACTTTGTGAAGTGATTAATATCTAATGATAGTTATAGAGTCTGACATGCTTTAAACGAATATCGATGATTATGTCGATTATTTATGCATATTGTGAAGCTTATGCAACTTTCTTTAAGGTAAAATACCACTTCTAGTTCAATATTTTAGTTACTTAAGTAATTAGTTCACATAAATTGCTATTTACCGATTAATTCGATCTACATGATAACTGAATATTTTAGCATTTGCTATTTATTTGTTGATTTTTATTTATTAATTAGTGCAATACATAACATAGTTATATTGTTTTTAGATTAGCTGAGCAAATGCCTGATGTCATAAAGCATGTACATCTTGAATATGCAAAATGGTTAGCCGAGAAAGATCAGTTTGTTGAAGCTAATCAAGGTATGAATGAGCTATTTAAAATAAATAGCATGTTTTACTAAATGTATTTTCAATCCTTTTGTTTTTTAAGCATTTATAAGAGCAGGCCAGTCTGATGAAGCGTTTAGGCTCTTATCGAAACTGGTGCAATGTGCTATTTGTGAGAAACGTTACAAGGATGCTGGTTATTTTATGTGGCTGAAAGCTGTACAATCGTTGGAATTATCCAGGCAAAGGTAATAATAATATAATACAAAGTTGTTTATAGCATAATTAACATAAATATGGTCTTTGATATTCGCATAATGCGCAAAATCAATCAACTTTTGCCTATTTTTTTGGGTGGCGTTTATTGAAATATATTTTATGCCAATCATATACACAACTTCTTTACTTATTACTACAACTATTCTTTAAAAAAAAAAACATTGCAAATTCTTTATGACAATTATCGTAGTTCTGCAATAGCTGACACCGTTATCTTTAGGAGGTAATATTTTTTGGGAATTTGTTTCATACTAAAATATTTTTCCATCTCCCCGTTTTTATGAACATAGTCAGATAATCATCTTCATAGGAATGATGTTGTCAGCTTTATTGTTTTCCACTAGTAAACATTGGCAATCTTTCTCCTAAGCGAAAAAATTTTAAAATATTTTTTATTCGTTAATTGATGGAATCATAGATAAAAGAAAATAAGTGGATGGAATAATCTTTTATTGTTAAGATGATTAATGCTTGATGATATTCTATCTTTAGGATCAGCAAAGAAGAGATACATTTAGATGAATACTATGAACTCAGATCTACTGCTGCTATATATTATGCATATGAATCAATTCATCAGTATTTACAAGTGAGTTTATTGTACTCTTTTTTAACTTCTCATCGAGTGAAAATTCACTATTGAATCATCATAGCAAATGATAAATTTAATGATCTCAGGTGTGCTTATCAATTAATAATGAAGGTCAGTTTCTAGACCACAGATAAAATCAAATTTAATAGACATAATAACAAACTTACAAAATTTATTTTAAATCTACAATTATAATTATAATTATTTTTTAAAAAATAATAAAGGTGTACGAAACAAATTTTATTGAATTTATTTTATCTAATTTGATGCTTTGGACCGAAGAGATAATACGTTGAAGACTTTTATTAACATAAATATCCTTTAGCTCTTAAAAAAATATTTGCTCTAAAATATATATCATTTCTAAAGCTTTCGTTTCATTTTCATTTCCATAGGAACCATTTCGCATGCAGACGCCTGATGTTTTGTTTAATATAAGCAGATTTCTGGCAAATGAGACTAAAGGAAAAACATTACCTGGAATTTCGCAATAGTATCCTTTTTAGACATTTAAATTATTTTTTTAACTATACTACTTAGTTATTTTAAAAACTATATCTGAAGAGGTGTAAGCAAAAATACATGCTGCTAATTAACTACTTAAGTAATTTGTATTTGAATTTGAACTCAGAGCTAGTAAAACTTTTTGCTTCCTATTGCAGCAACGATTTGGGATTTGATTTTTTCAGCTAAGATTTTCAGAATTAAGTGTTTTTCTAATAAGGATAATTAAATTATATAAAGAATATTGTATTCTTTACTAAAACTAGCTCTATCCTATTTGTTCTTTCAAAACATGCAAGAATCTTAGGAGCAAACAAATTAGCTTTACAAGTAATAGACAGATTGCAAGGCCTACGAGCGCCTGCAAATTTACAAGACCAAGCTGAGGTATTACAAAGAATATTAGTTTTCATAATTTTAGTAAAAAATACTATTGTTAAAACTTCTTTTGAAAAAAAGTGAAAGAATTTATATTAGTATGTCCTAAATACAAGCAATGGTAAAAAGCAATGCATTTCCAGTAACAAAGATTTTTATAATTATCTAAGATATAATTCAAAACACTGTTATAGTTCAATAAGACTTAACTTCCAAAATTCCAAAGTTAATTCCAAAACTTAAAATTTTTCTAAATAATTATTTAGAAACATCACCAACTTTAAGAGCGAACTGTTTTGGAATTACGGTCGTTCCGTAACTCGTAATGTTCGAATTATTTAAAGGAAGTGATATCCGTTTTAACTAATATTAAATTAATAAAAAAAATTATATAAATTTATCAATAATTCTATTTTTAAAATAAATAGTTTAAGGGAGGAGCTTGCTTTAGAGATTTCAAAAAATCGCTTTTTTGAGGAATTTTCAGCGAAGGAAATAATTATTTAATTGAAACGAAACCTTCAGGTTTCATTCTTATATATTTCAACTGTCTTCTCATTTTTTTTTTTCATTGAAATATATGTTATAATATGCCGGGTACAAGCATTCCAATTTCCAACCGATACAAACCAATCCAAAAAAGTATATTTTTCACTAGAATTGATGCTAGTTGCACCTAAAAATCCAGAAAAAAATGAGAAATTCAACAATTTTTCGCAACTTGAAAAAAAACATGTTTTTTGATACAAAATTTCACTTTAGTTTGTTTAAAAAGTGGGTTAATTATAACTTTTTTAAGTTTTTTTAGGTTCAACTCGAATAGAATTTAATCCTGAATATAATGAATTTTGTCTCGTTTCGATATGTCGTTTAGTTTTTTTTTCCTAATTTCCCGCCAATTAGGAAGAATCGAAAAAATTAAAAACCGAGAAATCGTGCGTCGAAGTTTTCGTTTCGCTCGTATAATGCATGCTTGACGCTTGCTGACTATTTCTTCTGTAATTCCACAAATAATTTGAATTTGTTTCTGAAATTTTAGGGATATATTCTTGGCTAGTTTTAGAAGACATTTTTGCAAAAAAAAACGATTTTTTTAAGCCTCTAAAGAAGGCTACCCCCTTAAAGCTAAAAAAGCGTTTTTAAGTAAATTTGGGTTGAAGTTTATTTAATTTGATTAAAAATATACTGATCTATAATATAAATTAATAATCTTTCAGATTCATTTACTAACAGGTCGAAGTATAAAAGGCGGTTTTCACGATCCCGAAGATTTGTTACCATTATGCTATCGATGCTCCGCGTACAGTCAGCATTTACAAGGTTCTTCATGCAGTTCTTGTAAACATAAATTTGTATATTCGTTTGTATCATTCGGTATGTAAAACTGAACATATTCATTATATTACGATATTTGAATATTGATCAATTAATAATATATGTGTAGAAGTGCTGCCCTTGGTGGAGTTTTTCATTGAAGATGATATAAGCGACGAAGAGGCTATAAAATTAATAGAATCTCAAAATGTTGAAACGAGCACTAAGGACAAAATGACAATAATGGGAGATCCATTTACTGAAGTATTACTGCAGGAAGTATGTTAATTAATGTGTTAGTAAAAATACTTTAACTACGAATAATGGACTTCATATGGTTCAATCTTAAATAATTCATGTGCCTTGTTAATTATAATAGCGCCATCTCATGCCACTTGGATACAAAATTAAACATAATTTTGGTAGAGAGACTGAAATAAACTTTGATATTATTACAAAAAGAGAAAGCCAGATAAAATTTGAATAGGTGATATGTTGATATGATAATTAATAATAGAATATATCTCTCATTTAAATTTTCTGTAACAGCCAAAAATGGTATCATATTATAAAATATCAAGTTTTCCTAAGAATTTTATCTTTTATTCATTTTCCAGCTGCTGAAAATTCTGGAAAATTGACTAGACTGTAAAAATTTATCCGCAGTTTTGATATCTTAGTTGAAACTTATTATTGGGCTACACATGATGAATATACATACATATATGAAAATTTATAATTATAAAATTTTCAGGGTATCTGCTCAGTAATATATAATATATAGTTCTGGTACTTAGTTAGTACCTAGTATATATAGTTCTTAGGTTAATTAGTATTTAAAAATTAAAAACCTTGGGTTGATATGTATTTAGTTGTTAAGTAATTGAAACTTCCTGAAAATTAGAATATTGTTTTTTACTTTCAGGATTTAATATTAAATCGGTATGCATTACAACAATTGGATCCAAGATATGTTCTAATAGCACATAACAATCCACCAATTCCAACAAAATATTATAAAAATATGATGCCAGGAATGGTTATTACAATTTGTCATTCGTGTTACTGTGTAAGATTTATAATAATTGAATTGAATTAAGTTAAACACAAAATAATTTAACATTTTTTATAGGTTTTTCATACTGATGATTATGAACTACAAGTTTTGCAAAAAGGATTTTGTGCTTTTTGTAGAGTTGCGCCAAAACATAAATAAAAAAATTACAAAACAAGTATAGATATATAATTGTAACATTTATTAATTGATCGCAACAAATATAAAACACATAATTGTATATACAAACACACACACACACAACGTAATATTTACTCTGCATCTACTCCTTCAATAGGTTCGGGTTCAACAACTTTAAGGCAAGCATCACTAAACTCAACAAATAAAGGTATTAACATTGCGTCACTAATAACTTTTGCTGGTTTTTCTGAATTCTTTATAGATACAAGTAAATTTCGTAAATGGTGATTTGTTAATAGAGATTTAATTGTTTTGTCGGAGTCTGGAAGCAAAAGGTGTAATATGAAAAAACTGAATATATGTTAAACTAAGTAACTTTTATAACATGTTTTTTAAAAATAATTTCTTTACCAAGCAGCTTTAATGTGTGTCGAGGTACTGTGTCTTCTGTCGGAAATAAATAATCATCAATTGCTTTACTTTTGTTATCGTGGCCAGATGAGTCATTTACTTCCTTTTCTGGTACACAAGGAAACTCTTTATGTTTCTTATAGCATGTTAAACTGCAGCTGAAAATTAAAATAATAATAATGAAAACATTTGACAAAAGAGCACGAATCATGAAATCTTCAAATGTATAAAAAGGTGATATAAGAATTTTTTTTACAGATACTGATTATTAAATGGATTGTTATATTTAAAATAGATACTTCAAAACATTTTTATGAACAAATACAAGTTGTTCACTTACTATTTAGCCTTGCATGTAGTGCATTTATATCTGTCAGTCTCACAATCACATACCACGCATATGTTATTTTTATATGATATAGAGTCTACCATTTTATTTTAAAGAAACACGACGAAGCAAAAATTCTTTATCGTTTTTCTTAGAATTTTCTGCACATTGATATATAACCTAAAAGTATATCGTGTTTACAATGACCATGAATCGGTTTGACAGATTGTTATTTGAATAAAACTCTTTTACCAACAACCAGCGAATGAAAACGCTTAGGTTACTCACACACGGTACATTCTTTACTTCCCGTAGGGCAGTAGGGTAAGTTATAGTAATCGCAAAAAAATCGAAAATGAAAATTTTTATATATCTTTGCGTTTCAAAGGTTTCTGAACATTTTGGCATATCTTAGAAAAAATGGATGTATGTGTGTGTGTGTGTATGTGTGTGTTTGTATGTGTGTTCGGATACAAATTTTCGTCGACGATTTAGGGAACACGGATGAAGCGATTTGAATAATTCAAAAAAACATTCGATTTGTATTGATAAGGAGACGTGCTGATTAGTTTTTAATGCAGGTCTAGCCGTTCCGAAGATATGGGTCAAAAAAAACGGTAACTCAGTTTTTATGAGAACGGAGCGTCCAATTTGAATAATTCAAAAAACATTTTACTTGTATTAACAAGATGAAGAACTGATCTAATTTTCATGAAGGCAGGTCTAGCGGTTTCGGAGTTCTAGTAAAAAAAGTAAAAAAAATGCCATCTGGCGGTCAAAAATGATCATTAGACATATGCACATCAAATTATCAAATATTTTATAGAGATTTTAACAATAAGTATAAATTTTGTTTACATTCCTATGGGTTACGTTCCAATGCTTATCCGTTAGACGGCGGCGCGGCGCTTACGCGCTTCGATATTTCGTCTCTATGCAGTTAAAGCAGTACGATTGCTTTGAAAAAAAGTTCAGAATTTCCAAAATATTTCAAAATACACTTTTTTTCAAAAAGTCTTTTTTTTCAAAAAAAGTAAATTTTTGTCAAAAAATATAGTTTCTCAAAAATCTAATTTTTTAGAGTAATTTTTTGTTCAAAAATGTTAATCTTTTTAAAAAATATAATTTTTGGTACGGGCAATTTGCCGTAAGGCACGATGCCATGCGTCCCACTAGTTTCTCTTCCGAATTTGAAAATATCATTCAAACGATAAATTATTAGTAAAGAGTAATTAATTTTACGTTAAAACTCGTTCTCATAATCCCAATGGCACTTATGACCGTAAATATTATTTATTCATTAAATTAAAAATTTAAAAATTCATTTAATTTATTTACTTCCCGTAGGGTAAGTCCACTAGGGTATACTCCTCTTTTATCTATGGGTAAGTCATACACTCTTCTTTTATCTATGGGGTATGGGAAATCGCAAAAAAATCGAAAATGAAAATTTTTACATACCTTTACGTTTCAAAGGTTTTTGAACATTTTGGCATACCTTAGAAAAAATGGATGTATGTGTGAGTGTGTGTATATATGAGTATAACAACCGATTTGAATAATTTAAAAAACATTCGATTCGTATTGATAAGGATACGTGTTTATTAGTTTTTGGAAAAACAGGTCTAGCCGATCCGAAGATACGGGGCAAAAAGTGGCAAAAACGTTAACTCAGTTTTTAAGAGAATGGTCCGTCCGATTTTAATCATTCAAAAAACATTTTACTTGTATTGACAAAATGAACTACTGATTAAAGGGTCTGGGCGTGTTTCCATACAGAATTGGCCCCACCCTGGTATTTAAATTATTTTGATGCCATTTTATAGGTATTTTCGAGAAAATTCGATATACCAAATTTCAAATCCGTAGCTCATCATTTGGCCGAGATATCAGTGAAAACATGTGAAAGTGGCCCCTTTTTTCAAACTCACTTTTTGTCGGAAATATGAGAGATATCAAAAAACTGTTTATGTCATTCTATTTGTACTGATCTTGTCTATATTATTTATAATGAATAATGTTAAAAAATTGTCATTTACTGAATGAAAAGTTGAAAATAAGTTTTCATTTGAAATTTTCGACCAGTACGGTTAATTTGACTACTTTCTAAATAGCATAATTTTAAAGCCTGTATATTTTACTTTTATTATCCAAAATTATATCTAAATCGAAGTGGAACTTTTTATAAAAAGTTGAAAAAACCGAAGGTAGTACACGCGGAACCCGTAGAATATCCGTGTAAGTAGCGTCTCTCAATAGCAAACCAGTGCACATTGCGCTTGGCGCGCATCGGAACATATTCTATAATCTATATAAAGGTAATACTTATTTAAAAAATAAAACTAGATATATACATTTATGTCTTTTATATTCATATATTTATGTATATAATTATTGTGGTTATATATTTATATACAATGTTTTTTTGTTTTGAAATTATACCTAAAACTTTATTTGCTTTTTACATTTTATATTTTATATTGTTACTGTATATTATTTTAATACGATAGAAATACATAAATAAATAGTCACTATATTTACCATAGTAATATGGAAGTTTTAGACGATTAAGACACTTTTAATCGTAGTCGCTGACATTGTTAATAGAAACTGTTTAACTTGTTATTAACATTGTTAATAGAAACTTTTTAAACACTTGTTTATTGCAGATTTTGCAATTTTCCGGCATTATTGTTTCTATTAAGTTTATGATTATGAAATTACTAAAATACCCACTAAACCACCAAAGCTCTCACTGAAATAACAATGGATTTGAATCAGAAAAAATCTAAATACAGATTTCACACAGAACACAAAAAAGCAAACAACTAAAATAAAATAACTGTGAAATCTATGATAGTAATTACCGAAGCATTATATTTTCTGATATATAATAAATTCTTGAAGTAACTATACTGGAAGCAGCAAACACAAACTGATGCATTTTTTAAAATAAAATTAAGTAACAAAGCTAGAGCATTTCAAATTACTAAGAATATTTTATATTATATTCTTCTATCTTTGTATTATTGCGGTATCGATAAAGATATGACAGAGTAAAGAACGTATTTTTATCTCAATATTCCAATTGTTATTCAAAGAATAAATGTATATTTAGTTTTTATTGTGAGTGAATCGTTGAATGCATCATTATTTTGTATTACACAAAATATAAATATATAAGACATAATATTTATAACAGAAAGTCTAATATTTATAACTACAGTTTCTATTAACAATGATAGCGACTACGATTAAAAGTGTCTTAATAACTTCGTAACTTAACTTCCATATTACTATGGTAGATATAGTGACTATTTATTTGTGTATTTCTATCGTATTAAAATAATATACAGTAACAATATAAAATATAAAATGTAAAAAGCAAATAAAGTTTTAGGTATAATTTCAAAACAAAAAAACATTGTATATAAATATATAACCACAATAATTATATACATAAATATATGAATATAAAAGACATAAATGTATATATCTAGTTTTATTTTTTAAATAAGTATTACCTTTATATAGAATATGTTCCGATGCGCGCCAAGCGCAATGTGCACTGGTTTGCTATTGAGAGACGCTACTTACACGGATATTCTACGGGTTCCGCGTGTACTACCTTCGGTTTTTTCAACTTTTTATAAAAAGTTCCACTTCGATTTAGATATAATTTTGGATAATAAAAGTAAAATATACAGGCTTTAAAATTATGCTATTTAGAAAGTAGTCAAATTAACCGTACTGGTCGAAAATTTCAAATGAAAACTTATTTTCAACTTTTCATTCAGTAAATGACAATTTTTTAACATTATTCATTATAAATAATATAGACAAGATCAGTACAAATAGAATGACGTAAACAGTTTTTCGATATCTTTCATATTTCCGACAAAAAGTGAGTTTGAAAAAAGGGGCCACTTTCACATGTTTTCACTGATATCTCGGCCAAATGATGAGCTACGGATTTGAAATTTGGTATATCGAATTTTCTCGAAAATACCTATAAAATGGCATCAAAATAATTTAAATACCAGGTTGGGGCCAATTCTGTATGGAAACACGCCCATACCCTTTTTGAGAAGGCAGGTCCACCAGTTATGAACTTACAATAAAAATAAGTTAAAAATATGTCATTTGACGGTCAAAAATGTTTATTTGACTTATGCACATCAAATTATCAGATATTTTATAGAGATTTTTATAATGTGTACACATTTTGTGTAAATTTTTCTGGGTTCAGTACCAAGATTTTCGATTACGGTACGGGAAGTTCTAGCAAAATTTGTCTTAACTGGCTCTACTCTTTTTTCATCTATGGTTTCGGAGATCCAATAAAAAAGTAAAAAAATGCCATTTGGCGACAAAAAAGATAATTAGACATCACACATAAGCATTAGCATTAGCACGTAAAATTATATATTTTAGAGATTTTAGTAATAAGTACACGTTTTATTACCATCCCGTAGGGTAAGTTATAGTAACCGTCCAAAAATCGAAAATGAAGATTTTGCATATATTCACGTTTCAGAGGTTTCTTCACAATTTATCATACCTCATAAAAATGGATGTGTGTATGTGTGGAGACATTTTTTTGTCGACGATTTCGGTCGTATGGATAATCCTATTTGAAAAATTCAAAAAAAAAAACAATCGATTCGTATCAATAGGGTGATGTGCTGATTATTTTTTGGCAAAGGCAGGCTCAGCTGTTACGAAGATACGGAGCAAAGAGTGCAGAAAATAGAAACCGAATTTTTGAGAGA